CTTTCACTTTGGACCTTGATGCCAGGTTTTCTGGGGGTTCTGGCCTGCTCCTTCAGGGGCGTAGAGTAGCCAGCCCTGAATAGATGATGGTGAGTGGGAGTTTAAGGGATGCAGTATCCACATCTGCTCACCACTGGGCCCTGGGTAAGGTTTTATTTTGCTACAGACTCCTGTCCTACAGCATGGGATGGCCCCTGCTATGACTAGTTCCTCCCCTTGAAGGCCTGAAACCTCTTTGCTGTGGCCTGGCATGGGGTTCCTCCTGACAGAGGGGAGGTGCGAGTTGGCGAGGGCATTCATGATCAGAGCTATAGCTAGCTGGTTCAAGTCTGATGAGAGGGCCAAAAGGGTCCTCAGCACCTGCCCCAAGGTATGCGACTAGAGGCCCAGGTGCGGGAGCCTGGAAGCAAAGGGCGGGCTTGGTGGAGACAGCGCCTGTGGATTACATTAGAGGCTGAGGCCTGTCCAATGGCGCCCCCTGCAGGCTGCCTGACCCGATGGCTGATAAATCCAAGGCTTGGGATCAATTCCTGGGGTCAGGAACAGAGGCCACTGAGTAACATGAGCACAGATGTGTCTGCCCCTACATACATAGGGCCATCGTGGGGATTCTCTATATTCCTTGGGCATACCTCAATTCTGTGATCTATCCTTGAGTACACCCCAGAAAGGTAGAGCCCATTTCAGATATAGAGGTGAGTCTACCCATTCCAGTGTGTTCCTATTTCTTGGTGGCCTCCTTATAAGCCCTGCCTCTCTGAGGCCTTCTCCAGAAAGACAAGAGACATGGATTCATCGCACTTCAGGCAGAGATGGATTCAAAAGAGGGAGTTCAGGGTTCAGGTTTGGATGTCAAGGTTCTAACGCAAACACTCCTGAGGGCCTTCCAGAGGCTGGACCTTCACTAGTGAGGACTCTGAGGGGTCCAGAGTGTTTAGGGTTCATCATTGGCTGGGCACAGCACCTGGTCCAGGAGGAGGCCGTGCAGGAGGGAGCCAGGGAGCCAGGGCTGTGAACCGGCAAGGCACCATCTTGTGGGTGATGGTGCTCGGCTTGGAGATCCACTAGGATCAGTAGGCTTCATCTGGTGGGGCTCAAGCTCCCAGAAGCACTGCCTTGGCCCATGACTGCTGATTAAAGGGGTGGGCTGTGGCCAGGCTGCTGCTCTGATGCTGAGCTTATTTTACCAGGGCTGTGAAAGTAAAGTCACCATGGGCTGGGGAAGGGACTTAAACAGGACATTGACCTCTTAAACAGGACAGGTACAGCCCATTCAGTGTCTGGGGAAGCAGTTGCCCTGGCCTGTGTTACCCATGTTCATATGGCTGAGATCAACTATTTTGGGGGGAGGCAGGGTCAGGGGGTGGTTTGAGACAAGTTCTCATTTCGTAGCCCTGGCTGTTCTGAAACTTACTGTGTAGACCAAGCTGGCCTCACACTCAGAGATCCGCCTTCCCCGGCCTCCCAGTTGCTGGGATCAAAGGTGTGCGCCACCATGCCTGGCTAACACTCCTCTTATCAGGCTTTTCTACTCTCGTGACCTCAAGGGTACTAAAGTCTCATACTATCCTGTTGGGAACTTAGGCTTCAGCGCACACGTTTTTAGGGAAGACTCACGTTTTATCTTCAACAGTGGAGTCTGGCTGCTAGCCGGGGGAGCTGTGGCATGGTGGGAGGGTCTCTGTGATGCTTGACTTCTGCGCGCTGTGATAACCCCTCCTCCTCCCAGCTGCCTCTAGGGCATGGCATTCCCTGTTCCCATGTTCTGCCCTGGCAAGAGGCCCACAAGTACCCACTGTGTAATGTCAAGGGACACGGGGCTACGGAAGTCTGGCCTTGCTCTGTGTGCCCAGCTAGGGTCATGTTTACTCATGGAGGACCAGTGCCAGGGCCCCCTTCAGCCCCCAGGATAAATGCCCATTCAGCCATACAAGGCTCCTTTGTCCTCAAGTGGCTCAGCCCAGGCTGCTGCTGGGCGGCCGGTGTCCTTAGCATGGCCCCCGGCCAGGCTGGCTACCCTAATGCATCCAGCTGCCTGCAGGACTTTCTCTGGACAGACTCTGGCTTGGCTGGGAGAGGCACCGGCAGGGTACAGGGCAGCTCTCAGAAGGACTGGAGAAGTCAGACAGCGAGCCTGTGAGGAGGCCTAGCTACATACAGCCTTCTACTTCTCAAGGCCTCATTAACAGTGCCCCAAGCAACAAGAAACCCTTGCAACCACATTGCTACCCTGCTTGTGGGCAGCTGGTCAGTTCCAAGGCTTCAGGCCCCGATGGACCCTTAAACCCAGGTGAGAGGTGCTGCCATGTCCTGCATCTGCTGGCCTTTCTCAGTGAGTGCTTTCTCTGGGGCTCAGTACCTGTGTCTGAAGTGGTTGGTATGTAAAATAAATGGAAAAAAGGGATAATTTATAAAAATAAAAAAGCAAGCAGAACCCCCTAGGGGAAAGGGTGCTTGCCTCATCTTTATCTGTGTAGGGCTGCTGTGGGACGGGTCTTGGGCAAGGAGTGCCATGGTCCTAAGAGACCAGTCAGGAGGTCCGTGGATCTGGAAGAACATGGTAGTGAGTTGGGAGACTTGGGCTGAGGAGAGAGGTCCAAGGCCCAGAGATACCGGGCCCCACAGAGCTGGTCAGACATCTGTCCCAGTAATGTCTGATCTAGCTCTACCGGCCTTCTGCCTTAGCAAGACACTATCCTCCAAACAGGTTTAACACAGGCATTCTGGGAGGCCCAGGTTACTGGCTTCTGAGTTTGTTCCCCATAAAGGTCCCCACTTATCTCTATTACCGGCAGCTCACCCTGATTCTTGTGGCT